GCAAAGGTGAAGTGGGGCAGAGGAAAACGAGAGGCAAATGGCAAATAATGTAATGCGAGGGAGAAGAGTTTGTGATGGGCACTTGGTATGTCTTGACTTGAGTGTAGATCTCCCCGGCAACGGCGCCAGAAATCCTTCTTGCTACCTCTTGAGCATGTGTTGGTTTTCCCTTGAAGAGGAAAGGGTGATGCAGCAAAGTAGCGTAAGTATTTCCCTCAGTTTTTGAGAACCAAGGTATCAATCCAGTAGGAGATTACACGCAAGTCACCTAGTACCTGCACAAACAATCAAGAACCTTGCAACCAACACGATAAAGGGGTTGTCAATCCCTTCACGACCACTTGCAAAAGTGAGATCTGATAAAGATAATAAGATAAATATTTTTGGTATTTTTGTTGTATAGATTGAAAAGTAAAGATTGAAAAATAAAATAAATAGTAAACTAGAATTGTAGATCGGAAACTTATATAATATAAAATAGACCCGGGGGCCATAGATTTCACTAGTGGCTTCTCTCATGATAGCATATATTACGGTGGGTGAACAAATTACTGCCGAGCAATTGATAGAAAAGCGCATAGTTGTGAGAATATCTAGGCAATGATTATTAAATATAGGCATCACGTCTGTGTCAAGTAGACCGAAACGATTCTGCATCTACTAATATTACTCCACACATCGACCGCTATCCAACATGCATCTAGAGTATTAAGTTCATAAGAACAGAGTAACGCATTAGGCAAGATGACATGATGTAGAAGGATAAACTCAAGCAATATGATATAAACCCCATCTTTTTATCCTCGATGGCAACAATACAATACGTGCCTTGCTGCCCCTACTGTCACTGGGAAAGGACACCGCAAGATTGAACCCACAGCTAAGCACTTCTCCCATTGCAAGAAAGATCAATCTAGTAGGCCAAACTAAACCGATAATTCGAAGAGACTTGCAAAGATATCAAATTATGCATAGAACCAAATATTGTTCATAGATAAACTTGATCATAAATCCACAATTCATCGGATCTCGGCAAACACACCGCAAAAGAATATTACATCGAATAGATCTCCAAGAAAATCGAGGAGAACTTTGTATTGAGAACAAAAGAGAGGGAAGAAGCCATCTAGCTAATAACTATGGACCCGAAGGTCTGTGGTAAACTACTCACACATAATCGGAAAGGCTATGGTGTTGATTTAGAAGCCCTCCGTGATCGATTCCCCCTCCAGCAGATTGCTGGAAAAGGCCCCAGATGGGATCTCATGGGTACAGAAGGTTGCGGCGGTGGAAAAGTGGTTTCGTGGCTCTCTTGGATGTTTTTAGGGTATAAGAGTATATATAGGCGAAAGAAGTACGTCGGTGGAGCTACGAGGGGCCCATGAGGGTGGGGGTGTGCCTACCCCCCTGGGCGCACCCTCCTGCCTCGTGGCCGCCTCATTGTGTCTCTGACTTCCACTCCAAGTCTCGTGGATTGCGTTTGTTCCAAGAAAGATCCTCGCGAAGGTTTCATTCCATTTGGATTCTGTTTGATATTCCTTTTCTGCGAAACACTGAAATAGGCAAAAAACAAAAACTGGCACTAGGCCTCCGGTTAATAGGTTAGTCCCAAAAATAATATAAAAGAACATATTAAAGCCCATTAAACATCCAAAATAGATAATATAATAGCATGGAACATTAAAAAATTATAGATACATTGGAGACGTATCAAGGTGACCTTTGATAGCAGCCAGTCCCCCGGGTCCAGCCAGGCGGGGACGCAGAGCTCGATGTTGATCCCTTCCGCGCCTGCTTCTTCTTCTCCAATGCCGAGGTCTTGTCCTTCCCCATCGTAGCAAATGATGCCAGAAGAGAGTGGAGGACGATAGTGGAACAACGGTGATTTTTGGATGGGAGAAAGAGAATCCAAGATTTACCCTATCTTTCCTAATTTATAGCCCTGGGTGCATTCGTCGGGAGCACCCTCAGCCATTGAACAGGCCATCCAACAGCGCCTGCAAAGTTCGCGAAACAAAGAAAGTAGGACAGGTGTGACGTTGAGGGCGAAAATCGAGCAGCCACGACCCCCAGCACTACACTCACGATAATTCGGCAAGGGCGTGCGCGCGAGATTTCAACCGCGCAAATTAACTCTGATCAATTCGTTGATCTTGTCGAAATCATTTCCATGAACACGGATGCTTGGTCCGTCGAAGATCCATGAAGGTGTCAGCATCCACTCAAACTGACGCTGAAAACTTTGCCTAGAGTCATCTCGAGAGACTGTTATAGGATAAATTTGATGCGCCTCCGCGGATCCACTTGGCCCTTCTTTTAGGCTCCAAGGCATAAAATTCATAAACTTGGACTTGGAATTAGCCTATACCGGCGTTCCTCCGGGATATTGAGTGGCATCTTTCTGAAGTATCAGACCACGCGCTAGTATCACTACTCGGGTTTTAATGGCACATCCATACTCGGATCTCTAGTCAGCCTCCTCCGAGAGATGATCGAGTGCCACCAAGTTTCTCCTCATGGTCAAGTATCCTTGATCAGTCAAGAAGCACCCGTACCAGAATACATTAGAATTTTGTTCAACCCGTAGTCGACTAGAGCTTGGTGATAGGTGTCGAGTGCCTCTGCGGTTCTCGGGCCAATCCAAATCACTAGTAGATTCATTCTACAAAATCTCAACGATTCAGGGGCTTCCTCTTGCACAATGAAAATCAAGGTTTTCTCCTGGATGATGATCATGGACAGGCTCAACACCCAAGATATGTTACTGCGCAGGCACTGGAATGTGTCTGACTCCCCTGCTTGTGTCCTCTGCCCAAGGAATCATCGAGAGGATAGAGACCACCTATTTTTTAACTGCAGATTTAGACACAGAGTATGGAATTTTTTGCAAATATATTGGCCTCCAGGGGAGGATCAGGTGGAGACTGTTATGCAAGCTAGGACAGACTTTGCTAAGCCATTTTTACTGAGGTGTGTTCATAGCCAGCTGGAACATTTGGACCATTAGAAATGGAAAGGTTTTTAGAAATGAAAGGCCATCTTTCAACAGATGGAGATCTAGTTTTATTCATGACATCTCTCTGATGACACACATGATCAAATCTAAATTTAGAGATGGGCTGTTTGGATGGATTGCTTTCTTGCCTCCTTGAGGTAGTTTTCTTTGTAACTCTTAGTTTTAGTTAGGTAGTTCTTTTACCTTTAGTCCCTCTAGGGCTTTGTACATTTGTATTGTGTATTCTTTTCTTTAATAAAGTAAGGTTGTGGAACCAAGTTCTGCAGTGGTTTCTAAAAAAACGATTTAGGGGCTAATGTTGGGGATATCCATCATGGGTAGCGGCAAGATAGGGATATGTTGACCATAATGGAGGGCCCACAGCACCAGATATGAAAACCTCAAGGATTCTGATCCACTCGGACGAAGGTTAAGATTCCCGTCACTCGGACGATATTCATCCACTCGGATGCCTCCAAACCAATCGGAACTACAGAGCACTCAGTGGTAGGAGGTAAACAGCCGGATGGGGAATCCAGAACATCTAAGGGCGCACGATGCATGCGTTACTAGCATTTGCTCAGTACTATCTGTAATGCGCATCATGAATGCAATCACTTAAATCCATTTGTAACGTAGCTAGACAAGGGGGTTGTGCACTTTATATAAGCCACCCCGTAGCTGAGGGTCAAGGGTTCACAATCCTTTGTAATACTCGGACACAAGAGAAAAACACAGCTCCAGGGCTTGAGACGTAGGGTTGTATCTCAGGAGGGGCTTGAACTCATAAAATCCCCGCGACACCCGTGCCATGCTAGATCTAGCCCTTGTCCGTACCCCTATTTCTTATTGTTATAGTCGTTCCCACCAGATACCCGCTTAATGGCGGCATACGGACGGGCGGACATTGAACGAGCGTGGTAGATATTCGTCCCGTCCTGTACAGCAAAACGTCTCTTCGGTATTGAATAGGCGCGAACACGGGGTACGCGGAGCAGGCAGCGCTCTCAAGCAGCGCGCCGCTTCAACACCGGTGCAAGTGAGAGGTCGCGTCCGCTCTGAGCCGGCGTCAATGCGGAGCGGCCGCTCTACAACGGCATGAATGCGGGCTAATGCTGGACAGGAACACACACTGGAGAGGGGTGAGGGTTTTTGGTGGTCTATGGTAGTCCGGAACGGGCGTGGCAACGGTCCATTCGCCCGCAAAGACCCTCCCTCCGGACCGCCGAGCGGACCGATACAAGCCCGCATTGCATGACACAACACGTCCGGATCATACGATTCAGACGTATGCGTACGGTTTAAGGATCGGTGTTGAAGATGTTATCGTAGAGTAAAAACACTTCTGAGGCCGGAGGTTATCCTCTTTTTCGAAAAAAAGCAAAAACACTTACATGCGTGCTGTGGTCGACCGCTCGGAAACATTTTCGTTGCCGCCCGCGACAAAAGCTTGCCAGCACCTTAGCTTCAAAAAAAAAAAAAAAGCTAGCCAGCACCTATAGTTCTATCGATTGGAATTCTGCATCTACAATTTCATTTCCTACTTAATTAACCAAGCACTACCACGACCAACGAGCAGCCTAGCGACCCGCGGGAATCACGGCGGTTTCCTTCGCTTTGCCTGTTCCTATCGGCTCGCTTTGAGCGTGTCCGGCGTGCACCAACGGCTAAAAACAACTTGTGGACTGTGGAGAGAAGGCAACGCTTTCCCCCTTTCGTACCAAGAACGCTGAATTTCTGGCAAATCAAATCAACTTTCCAATCGAGGACAAAACAAATCAACTTTTCAATCGAGGACATCCGGAACCTGAAAATGTTCCTGGCTCGTCCGTTTCAAACGTTTGTACAAGGCAGAATATGTGAAGTCGAAGAAAGGGAATGAATGCACCAAGAACTCACCAAACCCTACTAAAAACCTTGTCCCAACCAGAAAGGAAAATCGGCGGCTGGTATTGGATCCACGGAGCGCCGCACAATGCCGTGGTTGGGGTGGCACGCTCGTCAGTCAGCGGAGGGAATTCGCTGCGGGGAGCCTTTTCCTGCCGTGGGAGTGGGAGACGAGGAAGTCCGGGGTGCGCTCGTAGCCGGAGAAGACCTCCTCCCAGATCTCGGCGAAGGCCCGGAGGATGAGGTGGTGGTGGTGCGGCGCGTTGAGGGACAGGAACCGGTGGAGGAGCTCCCGCAGGTCGGCGCCGCCCACGATCTCCTTCTCCACGATCATCTGCAGCATCGACCGCCGGAAGTCGGCCAGCGGGTCGGCCGACTCCTTCACCACGGCCACGCTCTCCTCCACCCTCCTGCCGCCGCCCTCGCTGGAGGTGCGCCTGTGCCGCCTCCCGTCGCCGACGCCTTCGGCGCCGGCGCCCTGCAGGGAGCGGACGGTGCGCTCGAGCTCGCCGAGCTGCCGCAGGAGCGCGGCGACGCTGGGGGTGCTCCCCACGCTGGTGTCGGCCTCGTCCGTCGACGAGGGTGAGAACGAGGAGGACGCCGCCGCGGTGGAGATCAACGACGCCGCCCTGCTGTTCCCTGCCCTCCTCGTCGCCGTGGTGGTGACCGTGGACATGGTGGTGGCAGTGGTGGCGGTCGACGTGTTGGTGGGCGGCGTGGCCATGGGGGACTGCTTGTCGGAGCCGTCGGAGACGGAGACGGCCTTTGAGCCGCCGCAGCCGCACATGAAGCCGCGGCCCTTCCTCGTGATGCGCAGCCCGCCGCCGGCGCCGCGGCGGCGTAGTATCATCGCCTTCATTGATCGATCGGGCCTTGTCTTTCTCGGTTCGGTTCGGAGTGTGCGGTGCGGGCGCGCACGGCGAGGAGGCTCGGCTCGTGGGACGAGCTGCTGGTGTGTACTACCGGAGTGAAGAGAAAAATGAGAAAACCCGTGGTTTATAACGAGGCAGCCGGCCGCCTTGCAAAGTCAAACGGCCATATTAGTTTTAGTTTTTCCGTGGAAGCAATCCGATGCTGGTGAAACGGTCAGACGAAAATTAAGAGGGTGTTTAGATACTCTCTAGTCATGTGACTAGTAATAGTCAGACTAAAAGTTTTTAGTCAGGCTCTGTTTGGAAGGTGACTACTACTAGTCAGCACTAAATGTCTCAGTATTAAATTTTTCTCTCTTCCTTCCATTTATCTCTCTTCTCTCCCTTGTGCCCGCAACAGGATGGGCCCGCCAATTAATTAAAGGAGAGACTTTAGTCACTTTTAGTTGGGGGTGGGGTGACTAGGGACTACACTAGTTTTAGTCACCCATTAGTCAGGGATGTTTGGAGGTTTACTGACTAAAAGTGACTACTACTAGTTTCTAGTCTTTAGTCACTAGTGATCCAAACACCCTCTAAGCACATGCTGATCCGCATTTAACCACGCACCGTACAATGCACCGATCATCTTTTCCATTTCATAGGACTCAATTCAAAAATTTCTATTCTTTTCCATTCATGATCGTCTTATCTGTCCTATTTTTTATTGACTTGCTAAATAAAAATTATTTTCCTTGGTAAGCCAACAAATGTTTACTAAATAACTATTTATCAAATAAAATCCTAGAATTCATTTGGTCAGATAAATCACGGGCAGGATTTTATTTGGTAAATACTTTATATCCTGTTGCGATATGCGGACAATTAATCTAGTTATATTAACTAGTAGTGATATGTATAGACATTGGCATGTTGTCTTTTACTATTATATTTTAGCAGTAATTAATTTGCACCATTTTTGGGCGATACTTGGTTGACTGTTGTAAGCTTCAAATATTGATTCGCAAACATTCCAGTTACAAATATTCTATTTGAAATTATTCTTCCCATTAAAATGTTAAAAAATAGATTTTTGTCCAACTTTATAGATATAAAGACACCCATAACAATTAGGGCCGTATCATAATTATTGAATTGTGGAAGCATAAATTTCTACTAACTCGGCAGAGTCACCAAAGTAAAAGAACAATAATAATTTCCCAACAAGGTTGTAATTTTTCCTATAAAAATCTTTTTATCCTATGAAATTCCTACATAATTCCTCCAAACCAAAGAAGGCCTATGTTTAAGGCCTCTCCCAGTGCATGTATCATAGCAAGTATACGCACTGTAAAGTTAGCATGTAGATGATGTAGCATGGTAGTTAAATAAGAAAGAGAAGATACATGTGTTATGATATTATATTACCAAACAAGAAAATTTAATGTGAAATAGATCTTTGTACACAAGTTCATATCGAGATTTTACGTACAAATGAAGAAATAATAAGATGACACTAACATAATAGGTTATGATACTATGCAACGGAAAGAGGGGGGCGATTTGTGCACATAGGCGCGGGGGCACCGACCATCTCTCATGCTTTTTCTTTGGACTTCAAATTTGAATCTATTATATCTTTTGAACCAAAAGTCCAATCTATGTTTTGGTTGCATATTTGAGTTCCTTGTGACGCGGGTTTTGAGATAAAACCTCCCTATGAATACGTTTTGACAAGTTCCTTAAACTTCACCGAGTCTCACCTACCAAAACTTGGTACCAACGAATGATAACTTCACTAAGTTTCAGAAACTAAAACTTACAACCGTGCGGGCAATTGTGGAGAATCAGACAAGTTTGCGGATCATGAGGCAATCATGTGGCTGGGCGCGGCTGGCTAGGCACGTGCCCTTGCGAATTTCCGAACAAAAAGATAATAACGAAAGTAGTAGCATCCAACTATGATACTATCTACTGTGAGAGACCTACTATCCAACTACAAAGAGAAGCTTCTAATGGTATGATAGAGGCTATTAACTACATACGCGTTAATTTCTTACCGCGATATCAGCAACACCGCACAATGTTGACATTTCTTAAAGTTGCATATCTATGCAACTTGCAACTTAACGGAGAAATGAGTAAAGTATCAGAGCTGCGAGGCGATCAACGAGATGGGACAAGCTAGCAGAAAAATGCTAAGCTAGCTATGCCCTAATTAATGGTTAACAATAAGAAAGTTACGAAACTAATGGTCCTACACACTAACACATTTTTGTTATAATTTGATCGATGGGTCTACGAACCATGATGGGAGATGCCTTTTGGAAAGAAAGAAAAGAGAATTTCCTAGATGTTTTACGTCTACGTATCGATAGATGGAGGGAGTAGTTTTTGTCTCATTGCATTAGCTGTTGACACATTTCCATCGCTCCAGGTAGGGTGTCAATAGGCCATTGAAAGGTGACACCGTTGATTAAAATCAATAGTTCATTAAAGTATCTGAATTTTCTATTTAACGTTGCATGAACAGGTAGATACCCTAAATATGCGGCAGATAAATGATGTGACGTTGTTGTGCATGCATCTTATGTTTACATCTAATCATACCCTCGTTGGTAACTATCCCAAACTATTCACAAAAATGCGAAGAATTATCGACGCGTTTGTTTCAATGATTTGGCTACGGTTTCCGATGCCCATGCTTTTCGAAACTGGCATATTACATTTGGTTTTCGCGTACTACGTATTCACTGGCAGCGTTATATGGGCCTTCCCAGAGTCGAAAACAACCGAGCGGAAGGTGATTAGAAAACCGGACAAAAGCGCACGAACCAAACAAAGCTTGTATTCCATAAAAGAAAATCGGAAGCAGTGCTTCTCCATACCGAAACCCATTACGTTACCTGAGGCGGAACCAAACGCGTCGTATAGGTTTTGACACGCACCAATGTGCATGCATGTCTTCAAAATATGATTTTGATCATCAAATGTTATTCTTGCAAACCTTCTGCACTTGAGTTAATTTATCACATTTTTCATGTCTGAATATAATAGAACGACATTTTTGGATCAACTTCCTAATTCTGGCCATCGATGCATATCTATGAATAACGTCACTCTCTGTTATTCCGGGATGACGCAGCTTACTTAATTGCGCACATAAAGTAAGTTTGGACGTCAAATCTCAATGCATGCAATGCAACCACTGAAAAAACGGTACTATGAGGAGTATATGTATTCAAGGGGACGTCTACTGGTGATAGTTTATGGTTCAAACCTGTTTTGTTTATCAGAAGAAAATGGTTAATTTGGATGAGTTCACATACTTTACGTCTGGAAATGATGTCGCACATCTTATCAAGTACCCCTAATACTCAAGTTGCATGGACCTGCCCACAAATTAGCCAGCAAGCAACCAAAAAACGAAAGGTGGAGGGGAGCATTATGTGCCGCGATGATTACAAATGCCACCTAAAATGAGGATCAGACCGCATAAACATATGCGGGTTAGCAAGCTAGCACTGGCTCTACTTCTCCTCGCAAAAAATAAACATAAACTGGCTCTACTTGCACACGGGTGGTAGTACGTCTACTCTCCGCTTGGACGGATACTACGTAGCGCATCGGCGAGCGGCCGGAATGATTTGGTGTCCGACACGATCCATCATTTGGCCGGTCCGCGGACGTCTTTCTTCGCCGTTTGGACGGCGCGGGCAGTGCACGGCTGCTCCGCTTTTCGCAGCACGGACACTTTCCTCCTGCCACAGGCTTTTTCTCGTGCGTGCATGCAGAGGGGTCCGTGAGACTGGCTGCCTCTCACCCTTTCCGGTCGTGCTCGAGTAAGCTGGCCGGCGGTGGTCTGATCTTCGTCAGGTCTGATGTTTCAGCAAGAGCAGCACCAGGCATGCATGTATCCATCATACTCCTACCGCGGGCGCAGAATTGGACCACAAAACGAACATTAGCATTTGTGTGCGGACTTGTCTTTAGAGCATCTCCAGCCGTTGGCCTCCCAGACGACGATTTTACGCGCCCACTGGGGACGAGCCGGCGCTAAAATCGGCATCAGGCATGCATGTATGCATCATACCGCCAGCGCAGAATTGGACCACAAAACGGACATTAGTATTTATGTGCGGACCTCTTTTAAAAAAATAGTATTTGTATGCGGACGTGTCTTTAGAGCATCTCCACCCATACTCCCAACAGGCCCCTCAAGGCGCCTTTTTATGCACCGGCGCCAAAAAAAAACCCACTCGTGCCCCAAGACGCCGAAATCCGCCGGTTCGGCCCGTTTTTGGGCCCGATGACCGCAGGCCGAACCCATCGCACTAGGAGGCGCTCGGGGGCTCCGGCGCAAGGGGAAACCACGCCTGGGCCACCTTGTCACGCGAAAAGTCAAGCCAATCGTCCAGATTCGCCCCCACCCCCCGCGCGCTCGACCACCACCCTACCGATTCTGGCGCCACCCACCACCCAGCACCGCTAGATAGGCCATTGCCCGCTGGATAAAGAGAGAAGGTTTCGCCGCGGCAGCCTCTCCACCACCGTCCGGGCGAGTTTTTCGGTGCTCTGACGGCGCAGGGCGGTATGCCGGCGGGTGTGCGCCCGCCACGCCCGCCAGGTGTTCGGCGTTTTGTCTGCTCGGCGATGGACTCGGACGACGAGGAGGCGCGCAGCGCTGTTGCAGGAGGAAGCCGATGCCGACGTCCAGGACGAGGCACACCTCATGGTCCTCGCCGCCCTCGTCGGCCTGCTCACGAGCAATGATAAACCACGGCGAGGTGGCTCGGTGCCAGGGCAGTGGTGGCAGTGTTTGGACCGCAATACTTGCGAACACCCAATGCGGAAGACACTGCTCGGATCCTAACACAGAATGCAGCAAGAGGATTTCCTAGGATGCTTGGAAGCATCGACTGCATGCATTAAAAATGGAAAAACTGCCCATTTGCTTGGCAGGGGATGTACAAAGGCGCCAAAGGCGGTTGCAGTGTGATACTTGAGG